GAGGACGGCGGAGAGCACTTCCAATTTGCCTTTTTTTGCATCGTTGCTGGAGGCAGAGAAAACGCTAAAGATGCAGGATGAGCTGAAAGTTGCACAAAATGAAATGATATTCAGGCTTAAAAGGAGACATCTGATATCTCCACAACATACAACATATTTAGCCTGTGGCCTGTAACAGCAGTGTGGAAGACTTTTCTCCTCAGCTGATGTTTTGTGCAGCTGAACCTGTTTGAAATGCTTTGAGATTTCAGGGTGAAAGTGCTGTGTAACAGATTGCACTTAATCACTGTAATGTAATACGCTTCACTATGCTGTACTCTCTGTATAGTGACTATGCTGAAATTATAGAGAAAGGTGAATGTTTTTCAAACAATGTTCAACTACTTAAATATCATATGAATTATGCTTAAATTCATGAAAATTATCTTGTTATATTTATACCATGTTGTTTTTCTTTCCTAACAGACAAAGAAAGTGTCCTCATTTCCAAGTTTTGTTGATGGTAAGTTTTACATGGTTCATAATTAAAGGAGTATAAAACAGAAGCAAGTGTTTTAATATATTTAAGAATCAAATTCTTAAATCCAGTCACACCCAAACCACCAAATGGTGTTTTATTAAATAAACCACCAATTCTGTTCATTATATAGGATGTGTAGAAGCACGTAACACTTTCATCCTAACCTGTGGCAATGGGAGCCCGGGGGCGATGAGCGGGAGGAGCATTTTGGAAGGATTAAAGTGGACACAGAGACAGCTACTGAGGGCAGTGGGAAACTCGTAGAGATCTGCCCCTTTGACCTGCTCTGACGTACTCTTCCCTGCAATGAGAATGATAGATGAATGTTAAAAATTTGATTTCTAATGCACACCTCTAGAAAACCTTACTGCCATTTAGAATAATGCACCTGTTCGATACATTTTCCCCTTATTCCCTGATCTCATCAGCTTGACTAGCAGATTCTGTTTTCAGTCATTTCCTTCAAGAGCCAGAGCAAATGGAAAGTTCACAGATTGCCCCCTTTTCATAGATTGACATCTGAAGGAAATTACACAGAACGCTTGGCATGTACTGGCTAACAGGCCCTAAATAGAGGTAAATTAAATACATTCCCCGAAGGCAGAGGAGTCAAGAAAGAAAGCTGATCCTTTATAATACACAGCTACTGGTTGTGGAGTGGACAACAGTAACGGGAAGGCAGCATGAGTGGAGCAATTTTTAAAAAAAGGCTAAAAAATGTAACACTTTGCACTTGCAGATAAAATCAAATGTTTTCATTGTATTGGGATGAAAAGGTGATGTCTTTTTCTTTCTTTAACAATCAGTTCACTACTGCTCTGGCAGAAAGGGGTCTGAGAACCTGTTAGCATAAAATATTTTTTTCTAGTTAAATCATTTTTCTTTTTTTTTTTTTCTTGAATGTCATAATATGAGAGGATAAGCTGTCTGTTGCTTTCTGTTTTCTTTCTATTGCATGTATTATATAGCATTTTCTAATATAAGGAAGTATTGAGCTCATTAGGAGCTCCTGATAAGTAATAACACTAGCGTATGAGTCCAAAGAAAAAACACAATTTTTATTATTAATTCATACTTGGAGTCTCAAAGGGAGCAGGGCCCCCTGTCAGCCAGCTAACACTGTGTGTTTGATGATCTTCACCAAGCATGGTGTTTTTGCATATGAAGTATGGACATAAAAAATAGGCATCACAGTATTGAGAATGTGTCCCTCTGCTATTACAGCTGTTATCCTAGTTGCTATTTGCTATTCTGACTGTTTCAGTAGTCCTGCCATTAACAGGCTTGTAGTGGTAACTGGAGCTGTGTTCAGGGGTTGTGGCTTTTTTCCTGTCTCTTTTTGGCCTGTCACCACAAGTCCTGTTGCCCTGCACAGTCAGACAGGGGTGGAACCGGCCAAACAGCCGGAACAGGGAGCTGGGAGAGCAGCACCTGCTCTGTGAGTGTCCTGGGCCGTTTGCTTTGTCCCTGTCCCAGCCCTGCCGTTATGGCCCTGGTGGGTGCCCTGAGGGCTCGGGGCCCTGTGGGGCCTGGGGCTGTGCAGCAACAAGCCGAGGGCCCTAAGGGATGTCCGACTCTGTGGTTAATGTGATTTTTAGGTAGATATATTTAAAAGTCCCTCAGAGAGATTTTAAAATTCAGTTATACTGAATTATTGAGGTTTTTTTTCTTATTTTATGAATACAAAAAAAAAGTAAAAATGTTTAGATACTGACATAGTCTACTGATCTAGAAATATGTTTAATGTGTGCTTATTCCATTAATAGATCAGCAGAAAACCAAGTAACCTCTATTACATTGGTAGGATACTGCAGAAGTTTACAGGTAAATTTTTCAGAAACAGTTAACTAATGTCTAAATATCAATACCCAACACAAAATCCCAGTCTTTGCTCAAGCCAAACTCATCGTTAGCTTTCAAAAGTATTTCTTTCTTGTTCCCTTCCTCATCAGTAAGCCTTACACTTGCTTACAGTCAAGGGCACACTTAAGCGCTCTGATGAGCTGGGACCTCGGCCAATTCTGCATTTTTATATTGTTTAAAGCTGTCACAGGGAAAATAAATAAATAAATAAATAAAATTGGGTAACACAGCTTGACCCTGCCAATTTTCAATACCCTTCCTTACATCCTTCCAACAGATGTTTTATCTTACCTGACAGTTGCTTCCGTTTCCTTCATGATGAGAAATGTATGTTGGAAATATTTTTTGCCCGTTATACTTTTAGCTTTTTGTATGAGCTACTGCTATAACCATTTTAAAATGCTGTTGTGAAAGATGCACAGCTCGCCAGGATTTGTTGCTGATATAATGATTCTGCAAAAAAAACTCTGCTAATGCTATAAAGAGACAATATAAGAAAGTAGACTTTAAAGCATCCAAAATAATAAAATCCTAAAATAATAAAATTGCTTAAAATCTCAGGTTATTTCCACTTTCAAGAAGTTTTAAAGACAAATTAGTTATAAAACATTTTTGCTGTCAAAAAACAGCTAAGACAGGAGAAGCAGTCCTGTTCCCTTTGTAATAGTCACTAATTTCACAGAAAGTAGGCTGATCTGTTTGAAATAACCAGCACGGCTTCTTTTTGCTGGCAAATCCTGCAACAATATAAGTTAGAGTTCTAGACTTCTCTTGACAAACTAATGACTGTAAAAGCATTTGTGTCAAGAATCACAACTTTATTTTGCTTCATAAGTAAAAGATAACACAGGAAAGTTCATCTAAATTAACCGGTAAAGAGGCTACTTAAGCTGATTTACACATGGACATGGACAACTATATTTCAAAGTTAAAGCAACCTTGATTCAATTTAGCCTGATCTACTTGGCCTGAAGCAAATGAAGGTAAACTAAATTAAAGCCACTTTAATTTTAGATGAGGGCGTTGCTGTAGGTATTTAATGAAGTTTAACTAAGCCACATTAAATTCACATTGTTAATTAATTTCTCTCTTGAAACAAGATACTTACATGATGCAGTATTACTATGTTTCGTTGCATGCTGAAAGAGGTGGCGGCATATGAGAGTTTTAGGCCTGAAAAGACATAACCTGAATAACATCAAAAAAGATACTTCGTAAAATACATTATCCGCCTACAGTAAAGAGAAATGGTGCAAAGATTTAAGCAAACGGGATGAGTGCTGTAGCAAGGGGAATTCTAGTAGAAGTTTCGTTTTGTTTGATTTCATTCATTCAATTAGCACTGCAGAACATGGATGGTATTTTGAGATATTGAAAAACTTGGCCTTCATGAAGAGTTTCAGTGACTTTAATTAGTAGATTCCCGAGGGCTTGACTGAGGTTTCTCACACTTTCAGTGGATATTGTCATGCTATTTCTTATTCTTCCCAAGACACTGGGAATTTGAGATTTCAGAGAATTCTGTTCTGAGTTATAACGAGGATGCAGACTTTGCTGGATTGTGATGGAAAGCAAAAGCTCCTCCTGCTGTATAGAATTATCCTCTGAGGGTTTGCAACTGCCGTGCTTCCTAGCAAAAGAAATAGCTCCATTTTGTGCAAGTGTTGTTAGTTAGTGTTAGGTCTCTGAAGAGTGTAGGGCTGTTAGTTGTTTTATTTTTCATTTTTTAAATGTACTCTGATTACTGCATTACAAAGGCTGGTTTGTTCCGCAAGGGACTGACGTTTACAGCAAGCGAATGTGAGATCTGCATGGATATATGGGAGCAGCTTTTCCCAAAGAAGAAAGTTAGCTGTTTTAATCAAATATATTTTCTGTTGAAGGACTGTTTGTCTAAAGTCAAACAGGAAAACACAGGATAGAAGTGCTCATTAAGGGATATGTGTATAGAGCACTGTTTCAGATAATTTCATCAATGTAGCCTGTCATTTGTTTTTCCAACTCCACATATTAATTTCCATGCTCAATCAATTTTAAAGAAGTTAAACAAATCCACTGTACAAGGAAACTTTTTTTTAATTAGCATCTCCATTCAGTGTTTCCTCCTCACACATGAAATGGATGTCCTTCAAGAAAAGGTGCTAGCAGCTTGGCAAGCTGATACAGCTCAAAGCCAATTCCTTTTATAAAACTGTTGGGGAGCAGGGAGTATTTACAGCCAAGGGACTTGAGCCAACTGGGGAACAACTGCTCTTTAGTGCTGATCTAATCAAGCTAGATGTAAAGCTTACTGACTGAATAAAAGGGATGAGCACAGCCCCAGTGCAGTATAAATACCATCCTTTATTCATCTTCTCTTCTCCCTGCCCCCTTTTTCATCCTCAAAAAGGATGAAGAACAGCTTGTGAAATACAAGTTAATGTATTACCACCAAAGTCACTGTGTAATTAATACTAAGCACATGCAAAGGCATTCTGTTGAATCAAGGCTAAAATTTAAAAAACCCAAGATTTTAAAAGTTTCACTATTTTCCTCTCTTTTTTACTTCAATTTTTTTCTTGATCTTTCCATATGTTTCTTTTCCATAACTGCCCCTGGTGACTGCCCTGTTCTCAGCTTTTAAGTTTCATGGTGGCCCTTTGCTGAAGGAAAGTCCACTTTTGTCCCCATTGCAGTAAGTGTTCCTGCCTGAGTTAATGCTTGTGCACTTCTTCAAACATCTTGCCAAATGCGGAAACGCAAATCTGAATTCAAGCACAAGTCTAGTTTAATCACACATGTAAATAAAGTTATGCTAAAGGAGCCTACGAGCATTTATGAAGTTGTAAATAATGGCAACGTGTTCTATAGTGCAGCACAGCAAATAGTTTCTAAATACTCCGTTTATTTTGCACTGGGTTTCTTGTGATTAGCATCGGAGGAGGTGTTAGGACGAGGTTGCTGCGGCTGTGACGCCTCCGTGCAGCCGTCGCTGTCGCTGCTGGCCGTGGCGGGGCCGTAACCGTGACGTGTCCTTCAGTTCCAGGGCCCTGCGAGCCCGAGGACCTCATCGACGGCATCATCTTTGCGGCCAACTACCTGGGCTCCACGCAGCTGCTCTCCGAGCGGAACCCTTCCAAAAACATCCGCATGATGCAGGCGCAGGAGGCCGTGAGCCGCGTGAAGGTAGGGACGGCTCCGCTCCGCAGCCGCAGGGCTGATCCAGGCGCCCCGTGCAGGCCGGGCTCTCTGAGTGTCATCCCACCGTCCTGTGCCTCATGCTGAAACACGTCCAGCACCTCTGAGACACGGAATGTGGATTATTCCAGAGGCAATCTCATTGTTTGAAAGCTGTATGAGGAATTGAAGTGTTACCGACAAATTGCAGATTGCAATTAGAAAATATTCCAGTGCACGGAAGCATGGGATAGTTGCTTGGGGTTTTCTTGTTGTATCATTAAATCTTGAAACTTACTACAAATTGTGCAGATCACTCTGAATATATCAAATATTACTTTTTGAGGGCAAGAAGGTTCATGTTTTCATTTGGTGTCATCTAATGCCATCAGCTTTAATGTGAATCATGTAGCATAGAATGCTTCAGAGAGATGTGCAGCAAAATGTAGTTGTTTTGGTTAATAATCCAAGTAGGAGATTTTTTTTTGGTGGTATTACTATAAATGCAATATTGGTTTAAGCAGATGGCTAGACAGAGGTAGCTGTTGATTAGAAAAATAAATGCTTATTGAGTAAAATATTTAATTGGTAAAAATTGCAAATTCTTGAAGGGGGGGCCATGTAGGAAAATCCTTGTCTAGAGACCATCTTGACAGATGATGGATTTGGCCTTTAGAAAGGAATGAAAGGCAGGGAGGTCCTTAAACTTTCCAACCTTAGGAATTTCTGTTTAGGATGTTGCAATGTTTCAAGGTGTAAGTGATTGCAGTTAAACCTAAAACCTAAACTAAAAGCCTTAAAAAATGTTTTGTGTATTAGTAGCAATACAAATCTACCATAATACTTGATTACTTCAGAAAGGCTTGGCAGAGAATTTAACTTATGTTTAGTTCAAAAATGACATGTAGACATACGATTAATATGACTAGAATATTAATAGAAAACTTTGAGCTGAAAATAGTGCATGTACTGTCATTTTAGGTTGCTGAGTATTCAGCAGAGTGGATGTAATGAGCAGCCGTTACCAGACAACACTCTTTGGTATTTTCTATAATCAGTCAACGACATGAATAACCCCATTAAAACCAATATGCTTCCCAGCTGCATAGAATATAAACAATCTCCCTTTCACATCCTTCCCCTACTGTCCCCAAATTTTTAATTTTTAACAGTCTGGATTCATAGTCAAAAGGTTTCCCTGACTTCACACACTGTGTTTTCTCTTTCTTTGTGTGTACATCTGTCTGCACTTTTTTTTTTTTATGCTACTCCTCAGAGGATGCAAAAGGCGGCTAAAATCAAGAAAAAAGCGGTGTGTAAACTGTTTTTCTTGAATGCTAATGCTTACTTACATTTTTGTTGTACTTGTTCCCCATGGGGTGTTGTGTCTTTCATTCTGGGTCCTCATAAAGTTGTCATTTTGGTTTCTTCTTTGTTTAGTAGTAGCACACGGGATGGAATCAGATGAACTCATTTTCCTCGTGGTCCCCTTGCTAGAGTGCCTGCCTGCTGCTGCTCTGCTCTAGAGCTGGGACTTGTGCAGGGCAGAGACGCAGCCAGGGTTATCCAGGAGATTTTTGTAATGTTTATGTTCATTAACTAAGAGAAGCCGTAAATTCTGTGTAATCTATTTCCTACACCTGTGACTTACTGTATATATATATATAATTGTGGATATTTAAAAACAAAAGATAATAACTGTATCAAGTAGTAGCTGGAGCAATTCATACAGGAGATATTTCACCCAGATAAAAAAGAAAATACACTTCACTTAGCCAAACGCAGCTGTCAGGAATACCAGTGGAATCCACCTTGCTGGCGATGCTCTCGGATGTCAGTGCCGCAGTCTTTGCAACAGCGATGTGCTGCTTTGTGTTCTGTCAGACACAATTTTTGTCAGTTGAACTTAAACTGAATGAATCCTGGGCAGAGCAGAGCGGTTTCAAGCACGGAGCGGGCGGCGGGCGCGTCCTCGGCGGCCCAGTCCCGTGGCGGGGGCCGGGGCTGAGCACAGGGAGAGGCAGGGCCGGGGACTCAGTGCCAGGAGGTCGTGGCTGGGGCCTCACAGCGCTCAGGAGTTGGCCCCTACAAGTCACCTTTCGGGGGGCTCTCTGTGAAATCAGCCGGCGTCTCTGTCGGGAGCGCTGGGGACGGCCGCGCTCGGCCCCGCGCGGCGGGGACGTCACCTTCTCAGCTCTGCTCGTGGTGCTCCCAGGGCTGCAGGCACAGGGGGCAGTGGGGAAGGAGCCGCTCCTGTTCCTCCGCGCTGGCTACAGACAGGGCATCCTGGAGCCCGGGCTGCCAGTCCCACGGGCTCTGCAGATTCAGTCTTAGCCATGAAACAGGAGTTCGTTTCACTCTTTCTATGCAGTAAACACCCTCTCTGCATGTATTTGGGAACGCCTTTGGATAGCTGTCTTCGTAGTGGTTTTACAGTGCAATTGCTTCACATCACATTATGCTGCAAGTGATCATGAATTTGTCATTCTAAAGAGGAAATTAAAATTCCCCTTATAACAAAGTGTCTGTCTTTTAGACTTCAGAGGGAGATTCCCAGGCGTTGACTGAAGTGGATCTGTTCATCTCCACACAGAGAATTAAAGTTTTAAATGCAGACACACAGGTAAGTTATGTTTTAAAAATCTGCAAGAATAATGCTGATTGCGCAGCCTTGTATCAGATTGTGCTCTTGAAATGTTTGAGGGAAACTACTGAACTTAGATAAATTTGCTGCTGTGAAACTATTCAAAAAGAGCATTGTTAAGCATGCTTAGAAACATTATTGCCATTACACTTGCCATTTGCCAACATAATATTAATGAGAACAGCTTTACTTATTTGATATGTTGGAAAATGCATATCATTGGAATCTATAATTCAATTAAAAAAAAAAAAGATTCAGAAGTCTTTCAGCATGTATTTACCCTGTTTCTCTGCAAGAGTTTTACTACCTAAATTTATTAGCTAACAGGAAGGTCATTTGCTGCTTAGTTTAAGGCACTTGTATCTTGCGATTTTTAACATTTAATGTCCATTTTTTCATGTTTGAGCTACCAAAGTCTTTGCTGGAAACAAATTATTATTTATGTTAAAGTAGTTGCATATGCTAAAAACACCAGATTATTATAAAGAAAGATCAGTTTCAAAAGTGCTTAGCTATGCTAAATATACCCAAACTAGGTGGGCCCAAGAAAATTCATCTTGTAGCACTTGGAAAATTGTTTGGAGCAATCTTGCATTACTCTTTGGACATCATATACTAATCTCAGTAGAAATCATCATTTTCCTTCTTTAGATATTTCTGCCTTTCAGCTGAAAGCCAGACCCTCTGGCCGTAGAGGAGGGAAGCGCTCTGAGGCAGGTGCTGTCTCAAAGCTGCTGTTCCCCTGGGGCTCCCGGGGCTCCCGGGCGCTGCAGCCCGTGAGGAAGGTTCTGCTGGGAGCTGTTCACCAGGCAGCTGGAAGTGATTGTAACTGCAATTACAAGTGCCCTAAGTTTGCTCTGCACATTTTCTCCTTTTTCTTTTTACAGTGGGCCTTTCAGAGAGCTGTAAGAGACTTATTTTCATAAATCTCTAGCATTGCTTTATGCCAGGCTTTTGCACTGTGCCTTGGTTATATTTTTTCAGTGCTGGTGCAGTTCCTGCCTTGGTGCAAATGGCCTGTTTCAGCTGGCGAGGCAGCTGGCGGGGCAATCTGCTCTTTCTTGCCTTTATCAATTATATAAAGCCTGTTTTTGCAGTGTGCCTGCCATGTTTTAACCCATCTGTAGCATCGTACTGCTCTCAGGAGGCAGTAGTTGATTTAATATGGATAATTCCCAGTTAAGAAGGAGGCTGCGAAGCTGCAGAGTGGCAGCAGGATGCTGGGTTGCTGCCTCGAGCGCAGGCAGCAGCCCCGGCAGGGGCAGCCCCGCTCGGCTCCGGCCGCGGGCAGCGCGTGGGCAGGATCAGACCTCGGGCTGCCCACACGGCTGCGCCTGCAGCCCCTCGGTGACAAACGGGCCCAGTCCCTGATAGATGAATGGTCCTAAAATATCTTCTGACCTGTTAGGTTGTATGATTCATGCTGCCCCAGGTCTAGTACTCCTGAAAGCTGTGGAAAAATATTTCAGCTTTTTCCTCAAGCCTTCGCTCGATTTCCAGGGTCCAGCACCAGGGGAGTCTGAGAGAGGCCTCTGCAGAGGAGGGGAGATTTGGGTAAAGGAAAATCCGGATGGGAGAAGCTAGACCAGAGGTGGTGAAGGAGACGCTGAATTTGTAAGGACAAGTATAAGGATAGCGGGGATGGAATGGATGGAAGCAGAAGGAAACCAGGGAAGGAATACCAGGAGGAAACCAGGAGGAAAGGAATACAGGAACACATGGGTAGAAGTGGAGAGATACATGGGAGAATAACAAGGGAAAGACTACTACACATGTTTATGGTCACTGTATATTATTTGCCTTATTCCTAGATGTAATTGTACTAGAAAGTAAAAAGATAGGAGGGAGGGATGAAGGGAGAGAGGGATTACTTTTACCCCTAGGGAAGGGGAGAAAAACGTAAAGACCTTTGAGCACCTCCTCAGTGATGGATAAGGAGAGGAAGAATTTCTTGGCAGGTGAGATTAAATGCATTCATTTTGCTGGGTCCGTTCACTCTTGTGAACATTGCATGTATGATTACACCCTTACAGAATACTTAGTGCAGACTGCTGAAAAGCAATTACCTCTGCAGAGCTCCCAAGACCCTGCTGAGAGATGTCCATTATAAAACATTTTTCCATAGCAAGAGAATTGCTATAAAACCTACCAAGCCCCTGAAACCCTTAGAGACACCCCCCAACCACCTCTTAACCATCATCACATTTCATAGCTTAGGGATAAGCATAGAACATTTTGTTTCAAGACAGAGAAGAATTATTAAAATCATTTTATGGGTAGTGATTCTTCCCAGTGAGACAAGTGATTCTAGGAAGCAGTCATTTGGGTTATTTTTCTACCTCTGTCAAGTTAAATTCTGTAATTTTTAAAACAATTACTCTTTTCAACTTGAAAAAGATCTTTTTCTTTTAGACCTTAGAGATCTTTTCAAGAAACAATCACCTAATACCTGGCTGTTTATAATAAATGATGAGAAAATCTCATATTATTCATACCCCACGATGGTTTTTTCAGGGAAAAACAGCTATCAAGAGAAGCCCTTCCCCAATGAGGAGGGTGTTTCAGTCACAGGTGTCCTTTCAAGCTGCCCGCGCTCGGGAGGGGCAGGCTGTGCTGCAGGCTGCTCACCCGTTCCGCGGTGCCCGCCTGCCACCTCCAGCAACGCAGTGAGGTGAGAAGGGGCCTCACGCGGCGCGTGGTTACGGACCGCAGCGGGGTGCTCACGTTCACCCTGCGAGCCACTATCAAAGGGGAAAAAGGCTTTCTTGAGAACAGGGAAGCAGTAACCTGCAGGCAGCAGGATTCAAAATAGGGGAGGTTAAAAAAAACAGCAAACCTACGTTCAGGTTTTCTGTGGTTCACATCAGAAATGGGCAGTGATCTATCCAAACAGTGACCAAAAGCAACAGCTTCCTAGGGGAAAAAGCATCCATACCTGTTTTGATCAATAAAACTATTATGTTTCTAGTTTCCAGTTTGAGCAACTAATGAAAGGCTAGAGAACACTCCAGACTTGACTACAGACCCCAGCAAGAGGGAATTTGCAGATGGCACACTTCATTTCTTAAAGCAGAGAATAATTTATTTCTACAATGGCAAGATAGGTAAAGAAATTACAGAAAACCAAGCTAACAAAGCATGGTTTGAAGGCATAAAACTCTCATGATAGCTCAGAAATCAGATTCTTTGTTTCAATAAATGCTTAATTTTAATAGAATTATTCACTTTGCATAAGGTTTTAAAGTTGGCAGCATCCAGTTTAACCCATAATGGGATTTGGGCTCTATTTACCTTAACATAAGGATATTCAACCAGTGTCAATGAGTTAGATTCAGTCCACCAGGCCAAATCCGTGACCTGTCACCAGCTCTTTGGCCATGTGGTTATTCTGGCAGCTGGTACCAAGGCTGCGTTCCCCCGAGGCTCCCGGCACCTTCTCTCTGCCACAGGGAGCTGGGCAGGGATGGAGCAAAGACCCTTCTACGAGTCCTGTGGGTTCTTACAGCGAGGAGACTTTTCTAACGCTTTGTCTAACACCAGTTACGTTACCTTTTCTTTTAGCAATTTCTCTTCCGCCCTTGTTACACTCTGACTTCAGTAATGGGGATTTTTTTTCAAGGCACTTAAGGGAAATACAGTCTGTCAACTCCTTGCATGCGCATTCCTAAAGCTCTCAGTTCAAACATGAAAGGTTCTTGCATATGGAACATCTTCCATAGCAACACACCATTATGGGACCTTAGAAAAACTGTGGTATTTTACTTATTTTTATTAAGAACAAAAATTTAGTTTGCTTATAAAGGATCTTGAATAAAACCTTTATGAAGGTACAAATAGTTAGCTAAAGGATCAGTGTAAACAAGTAAATCATTCTGCTTGTCTTCACAGTCCAAGTATTTCACCTTTCAAAGCATCACTCTAACAGTAACACAGGCAACACTGCATTTTTTTATTACAATGATATTATTTGCATGTATCAAAAAACTTGTAATAAAAATAGACCACAAGTTGTTGATACACATAAATTTATTCATGCTAAATGCTGAATTTACAAATTAAAAGTATATAGTACAAGTTTATACCCACTGGTGCAAAGAAAAGGTTATAAAATGCCTTTGAAGGCTCTTCCTTGTGGGAGCTCATTGCTCTTTCACAGAAGACAAGAATGACAGAAGCATGAACTGGAGCTCAATAACATAAAAATTTAGAGGAAAAACAAAAAACAAAACAGTAATATCTGAAATAAAATAAGTCTAGTGACAACACATCCTTCTCTGACTGCAAATATGCACTCAGCTTTCATCTGTCCAAGCTAATTGAAGACTTAATCAAAGTCATTGTATAATGACATATTCCTATGAGGAAAATGTCTGGAAGTGGTAGGCTGGGATTACCCTGCTAATATCAGAAAGCGGAATAGAGTTTGAAAGGCTCAAGTAATTAAGGGATGCAGAGCTCAGGGATTTGAGATTGATGCAAGAAGTTTCAAGACGCTTCAGGCCTGGTTCTCCTCAGTGGTTTCTTAGGTCAGAAATGGTCACTAGGAAGGCCCGAGGGCCGGTTCCCATTTAAAACCAGTCGTAGGGAGCTGGAGCCGAGCGAGCTCTCCCCAGCTGGCTGCCTGACCCTGGCTGAGCCCAACCTCCTCAGCTGGATTATGCTGGTCAAACCGTGTTTTGCCCAGATACCATGTTCCCTCACGCTCAGCTTTGTGCAATGAGCTGCTCATCTGCTTACAGCCCCGCTGCAACGCGGTCCAACTCCAGCAGCTCAGGACAGACACAAGCAGGGCCTAATTTTGGCCAGCTGTTACCTGGACAGGGTCAGATCTAGCAAGTCATTAAAGCTTATCTCCTCCTTCAAGTGTCTGGACTTTACCCAGCCAGCATTGACTTTACCCACAGGAGCCGGTTAAGCAAATTTTGGAGTATTTGTGTGAGCCTGGGCACTGGACTAAACCCCTCTCAGCACTTCACAGATGAACTGATCTGAGCTACTGAGCAAGTAATCACAAAAAATACTAGCAATTCTAACTTTAGAGAAGGTGAAATACTGCCTACGTAGCCCTTACCAAAGGAAGAAAATAATACCTTTGCTACATCTTACATCCTATCACTATTATAGGACATGATAAAGGAAACAATTCAGAAAATTACAATATAACATTTGATCCAAAAATCAGTTTGGTCTTTGCGAAATGCATCTTCATCATTTAGAAAAAACAATACAAAAATGAAATGTAATTTTCCAACAGCATGAAATTGTTCATATTAGTATAGATCTTTATTATTACTTTGCAGTAGCAACCACGTAGCCTTTGCTGAGGCAACCCGTCCCCTGAAGGCACTTTCTCCAACAGCCACTTTGTGTTTAGTCCGGGTTCAAGTCTATTGTCTGTGTAGGCGATGTTGGATCTGGGTCTCTATAAAAAGAGTCCAGAGCTGTTGTCATTCTCAAGCAATAGGCCCTCCAGGAGGGGGAAAATTCAACATCTGTGGCAAAATAGCAGGCATGAAGAATGTCTTTATTTCTCTTTGCTTTACGCAGGAAACAATGATGGATCATGCCCTGCGTACGATCTCGTACATTGCTGATATCGGTAACATCGTGGTGCTCATGGCGCGCCGCCGCATGCCACGGTCAGCCTCCCAAGACTGCATTGAAACCACGCCTGGTGCTCAGGAAGGAAAGAAGCAATACAAAATGATATGCCACGTCTTTGAATCAGAGGATGTAAGTACATTGAAATAATTCTCTTTAAACAATGGACATCATTTAGAGAATCCCTGAAATTACATTCAATCTCTTGAATGCACTTTTGCTGTCAATATCCTTTTCTAAGGGAAACTGTAGCTGATTGGTGCAAGGACTGGCCAGCTGTTTGTCACTGTTGTTATCTGCATTTTCTGTTTCCACAAATCTTTCACGTCTCCTTCTTAGTCCCAAAATATCCACTCTTCATTCTCACCTGACTTTGCTGCTCTAGAATCATTTGTGTTCTTTCAACCATGTTTCCCCAAATATTTTGGGAATTAATTACTTGGATTTGTTTGAAATTCCATGGCCATCCATGGCCAAAATTAATAGCTGTATATCAACTCAATCATCCTGGAGTTCAGCTGTTTGGTACGTAATGACACACACATTTCTTTGGAAATCCAGCGGGGTGGAACCAGTTAGGTCCTTTTTTGAACTGAGGTTAAGTTGCTGAGATCATCTTCTACCAACTTGGCAGATGTGGCACAAAGTTGCCCTTTACCCATTCATTCCCTTATGGCTCACTTACCTGTGGCAGGTATGTGTACTATGTGACTCGCTCTGCTGACATTTAGGAATGCTCCAGCCCCTTTTCTTTTTCATTTTTCTTTTTTAGCTGTAGCAAAGATTATGAATTATAGCTTTTGTCCAAATGTAATGGCTAGGAAAGTTTAGTTCCCTGTATTTACAGAAATTCTTCTTCATGACCAGAAGAATTTAGCAATTTTCAAATAAAAGGCTAGAATACATGGAAGAACTCTTTCAAAACAACAGCTGTACAACAGAAAGCATTGTTTTAGTCATCTTGTGCCATCACATTCTGAAAATGCAATGCCATATTAGCTCTGAAACATTCTCCACTAAAATTCCCTTTTAAAAGAAAAGACCACGTCAGAAGTCAGGTTCAGAAATGGAAAAGATGACGGAGCTTGGAGCCACGGTGGAACGCAGAGGGCAGGCAGGGAGCCGCTCTGCGTGCGGGCTCTGCTCCCTCCCCGCGCCCGGAGGAGCCGCTGGCTGCCCTGCCCTTACCTCGTGTGCCCGGCACAGATGAACTTGCTTTGCTGCTGTTGTCTCTCCAGCTTTGCTTCTGAGTCTGAAGAGAGGATATTTGCATCCCACACTGTCTGACCTGGAAACTTCAACTTAATCTAAAACACACATGAAAAAAATACCAGGCTAGTAAAACTGAAAAGAACAAGACAGTTGAGATACAAACAATAGGCAGAACTTAGCATTTCTCTCCATCATTGTACAGAACAGCTTTAAACACAATTTCTGTAATAAAAAAATCTGGTTCATTTGTTCAGGCAGTTGTACCTTACAGGTTTCTTATTTTGTGAGCTAAGCAAACATTTTCATTATTTTAAAGCAGTTTGGCCTGTGAGAAGATGACATCCAAACAATTTGTTTTTGAGGCATTCAAATGGAGAGCTAATACAGGGGAAGGCAAAGAAGGAAATGCAGAGAAAGCAATTACCCTGGAGACAGAAAACAGCAAAAAGGAGTTGACTGGTGACAAACTTTAGTAATTTTATGTTGTAAAAACATTCTTGATGACTTCTGTATTGTTGATATTCACACCACTTGGTATATTGATTATTATATGTTAACAAAGAGGAGTTGAGAAGATGTGTTAAAATAAGGAATTTCATGTAACTGGTTAGCCTGCATATATCTTGATTGCCCAGAATTATTTTCAACTCATATCGATTGATTTGGTTTGTTCCAGCTCAAATGAAAAAAGAAAACAACTTGTTAGCATCAAAAGGAAACAGGGAAGTATCTTCTCAGTGGATTGTGAAAAGAAAGGGAAGAAAGAAAAGAATTGCAATTTACAATTACACTTTACACTCTGTCACATAGGAGGTTAGCAAACAAGGTACAGTGCTGCCCAGAGCGGCAGTGTGCATGCACAGCTGCACTCACCAGCTGCCTGCTCTCTGAGAAAGTGCAGCATTTCCAGAACGTTTTTTTTTCCTCAGTTTTGACTGCTGTTATTTTTAGCCAGTTACATTGCAGAATACAATTAGCTCCTTTTTCAGATCATTGGGGTTACTCATATTCCCTGATGACAGACACAGTTCCTGGAAAGCACAAATGCATAACACTGAGCTCAGCCTTCTCCTGTGATTTGCAGCAGACTTGGAACAGGAAAATAATAAATTGCTGCTGGGGGGAAAACAGCTGGACAGAAATCCTCACCTCTGGGGCAGTTTCTCTGAGCCCAATGCCATCTAGTGGAACTAGAAAATAATTGAAAGTGCGAAGTCACTAGTGTTGCCATGATGGCAGTCACCTGTCATTTTACGGCAAGTGCATCCCAACACTGATGGCTGTTAACGCTGATTCTCATGGCCCGCTGTAGGGGGGAGTGACCTGACTCCGTGCACTACAGGTGTGGAAAACGCTCCCTGGATCAACAAAGACATGGAAGCTCGTGAGGTGCTGTGCTTACCTTGGGCAGGCTGTAGTCCAGACTGTCCACGTGCTCTGTCCCTGTTGGCCAGGAGGTGTAGACACGAGTAGCGGTTGTTTGAGTGCGCTGGGAATCGAGGGCGGTTCCAGCTCGGCGGGACCCGCGCTGTGTGTGGCGGCAGGAACGGGAGAGCGGGTGGTTTGCCGAAGCGGCGCTTGCAGCGCTGTGGAAGGGTGGAGAAGCAGCAGGTGAGAAGGCAGCACGAAGCAGCGACACTTACGTGTCCGTGAAGGCCCGCGGGACAGCGGCTCTCTTGTCGCTCGTGCAGATCTGCAGGGGCTGATGCGGAGCCTGCGGCAGCCTCTTCCCTAAGGCCTGGCCTGCACTGAGCAGCGCCCGTGCTCTGCACTGCCCACTGGAAGGAGGGCAAGAATGGCGCATGTCTTTTCAAATAGAGCTTGCAGGTTGTTTGGGGATGTAAGTATTGCTCTCCACCCAACGGACCTTAAGTGACTTTGTGCTCATAGTCATTCTTTATTTTGACTGTCCTTAAAACTAGTA